GACCGTCGGCTATCATGCCATTTTATTCTCGAACGGGGCAAATAGCGAAAAATTGCAACGGCGAAAGCGCGAGCGGAAGCGTAAGAGTACACAGCGCGCGTTCAAGCGGCCAGTGAACGCGAGCGCGCGCGCTCCGACATCGATAACGATATTCCGTCCCGTGTTTATACGCTAATAAATGAATCGTGGAAGCGAGCGGCCGAGCTAGCACAATGAGATTCGCTCTTTGGAGGATATACAACGGCGGAATTATTAATTGCGATAAATTTTATTGAGCGCCGAACAATCACGACGCGCGAGACGAGCTACGCCGGGCGTAATTGACTTCGCGATGCATTTCTGCGTGTCTCGCTAACGAACTCTCGATTGTTGCACGAGCGAGTCTCTTAGCAGCTCGGTTTGTAATTTCGTCTCCCAGAAACGACGGGGTTTTGCGATCCGACGTGCAGAGAGGGCGCGCGACGCCTGTATCAGAAATACTCGTAATTAAATAGAGCGTACAATTCGTTCACTCGGGAATCTACATAATCATTCTTGGAAGCTGCGCGAGTCTGCCGCCGCGGTGGCGCAAAAATTTATACGAACCCCGGAGCCAACGGCGAAATAATGTGAAGAACTTTCCCCGGGCGTGCTACTACCCACGACGTGCTCCTCCTCCTCTCCACGTGTAGACGGTGCAAACAACTTCGGGGAACGATAAAAATATGCCGGATAAAGTTTCGCGCTCGCAATTCTTGGTGCGCGTTCAGCGGGAAACTAGCTCTGGCCCATTATGGATTCACGACTCAATCAGGGATGAGTAAACAGGGGAAAGCTCTGTTTGTAGTCTTACTCGAGGCAATAGAGCAGCAATCGCTGGCTTATCCAATAATGAAGACGTCGATATTGCGCTTTACGGACGGATACTTTGCCGAATATTTGTCGGTTTTGCCTGTCGAAGCGAGCGATTATTGATTCCCTCCTAAATTCGCCGACGCGTTATTCTAATCCTCGCTTCTCCGTTGTTACAAAAGTACGAAAAATCCTGCAACACGGACGAGAGCTCTCTCTTATCTTGAGTGCAAAACAACTCTTCGCTTCGTGTGTGAGCGATATTGATTTCTTAATTTCTGCCAGCGTTCCGCCGGCACTCAGTCGTCTCTTATTAGCGCCAGTTTAATATTAACGCTTTAACGAGACGCTGTTTATTTTACAACGCAGTCCTCGCGATGCGAGTGATGCACCTCCCGAGGGGTGTTTCGGGTAACGAAGCGAAGAGGAAACCAAGGTAGATCGCGTCGTCCTCGCGCTGAAACAGGCTGATTCTCATATCGACTGACTTTAGGCGTCCGCCTAAAGACCGCCGCGTTTTTCCCGGAGTGCTCCGAACGATGCATAAACATAAAGCCCCGCGTAAATTCCGCGCGGAGCCGTGTTTGCCCGCGAATCTGCAATTCATGCGTCGGCGGTCGCCGGCCGTTGTTGCGTTATTGAGAGTCCACCTATGCGACGAGGCGTCTCTCCTCCGCGCGTGCTTCCTCCCGATCCATGCGGAAGAGTGTCATCGTCGTATCAGGCACGTAATCGGGCCGCGCTTATTAATTGCTCGACCGGTTGGTCACCGCGACGTGCGCAAATTCACACGATCAAGTCCCAGGCCGCTGGTACGTTCGCGCAGATTGTCGCCGGAGTTAAAGAGAGCGCGCCGTACACGATTCCGCTCCATGTTCTTCGTATCTCACTAGCCGGCGCATGTATATCACGGGAGGAGGATATGAATACCGAGCGCGGAAATACGTCGTCTACGCAATTGGACTCAATTACGATCGATGCGACGTAATCCGTCCACGTCGCGAGATCGTTCGAGCGCGCCGCCGCGCCGGGGTGTGCGTTGAGGATGATGCGTGAAGGGTGCGTGTCTCGTGAGAGGGAGGGAGGGAGGGAGGGAATACGCGAAGGCGAAGAAGCGCCTGGCTATCCGTTTCCGCACGTACTTCCACTTCCGGAAAAAGCCACCGGGCTGACACCGCCGGGGTGCGCGATAAATTACCGCGGGGACAACGAGCGCTCTCCGTGAATCTCTCCTTATCGCGACGCACGTGACCGAGTCCGTCGGTAACATCGGTAAATCTTGAAAACGCACGTTCTTCTACGCGTGGACGAACAAGAGTGCGAGAAGGAAAGAAATAGAGGGAAGGGCGGCATTCTGCAAATCTTTACGAACGCCATCGATACCTACACACCCCATGTCGACGCTTTCGACACGGCTGTTTTTATTTCCTCTTTTTTTTTTTTTTTTTTTTTTTTTTTTTTTTTTTTTTTTACCTCGGCAATTCGCCTCCCGTTATTAACCGGTTGTTTGGATGGTGCGTTGTTATTCTAATAAAAACGCTCACGTCGCCACCGATAAAGTGTTTATTTGCGCTCGTTGCAGCACGCATATGTCATTTGCCGAGACTGAGAGAATTAAACGGCACTCTTTGTCAAAATGATACAATATAGTAGCTTTTATTTCCAACCGTTGATCGCGTGTAACGTAGTGAAAATGCAATTTTCGGGAAAATTGGTCGACGCGTTTTGCCGCGTCGGGTCGTGCTTTACGAAAGATTCTGGGGAAGCCGCGTGTTGTTGGAGAATCGGTATATTTTCACTCTCTCTCTCTCTCTCTCTCTCCCCCTCCCTCCCTCTCTCTGAAACGGAACGAATTGACTGAAAGAAAGGGAGAAAACGGGGAAACACTGAAAAATACACGGAGAACTTATACGAACAGGATAATTCCGCCGCCGCACAGCACCGCGCGCATTTTCAAAGTTGATTTTATCGACTGTATATACGGACGTGCGCACGCGCGCATCGAGTCGTAGAAACAACGGATCAGTTTCAATATTTATTCACGATAGTTCATCGGCATCGCGTACAAATCCGTTTAGCCCTGCGGCGATTTCGCCTAACGATTCCATTTTTTGCTCCAAATACGCCATTTTCACGGGGAGTGCGCGTCGCTTACCTTCATCCCTTCTGGCTTCTCTCTCTCTCTCTCTCTCTCTCTCTCTCTTCCTCTCTTTTTCTCCCTCTTTCGTTTTATTTTGCATTTCGACGATATCGGTAATTTGATATGCCGCGAGTGGATTCGCGTGACCGCGATTCAATGCGCGTTGCGCCGGGATTTTCAACGAGCAACCGCGACGCCGTCGACCTCGATCTCTCGGGCGCGCGATTGTGCCGGCCGGATGAATTTATTAGCGTCGTTTATTAGGAGAGATTATGCGGTCGCATTACGGCGGATGAGTAAAAAGTGCACGGCGAAAGTGCAACGCGCGCAAAGTGCTTATCTCGATCGATCATCTATCGATTGATTATTGTTCATCATAACTCTCACTTACTTTCTCTCCAACTCCCTCACTCTTTCTCTCCCTCATTCTCTCTCCCTTTCTCTCGACATTTGCCGCACAATTTTTGAGCGCGCGCGTGTGATACCTATGATTTATACAAGAACGTGACGAACGAGCTCGATGCCACACGAATGTACTCGATTCAACGGGCGAAATTGATGCCACGGAGAGCATCAGGTACACGCGAAGTCTCTGTGACATTTTAATGACGCTTTCCCAGCGAATCGCGACGTTTACTCGAACGACACAAATAACGGAAATAAAATAGTGACGCTCGCAATAACGGCGTTCGAGATCGGCGCGTTGAAGAAATAATTTACGATAAAAGTGCGATCCGTATCGCGCGGGCGAGAGTATTGATTCCGCGCAGCGGGGAGCGAATAGAGAACCGTGGATGAATAGAGTTCCGCCCTGCCCTTCCTCCCCCTCCTCCTCCTCCTCCTCCTCCTCCCCCTCCTCCTCCTCCCCCTCCCCTTCGACAGTGCAGAAGCACGCTGTCGTATAAATGGAGGAGACTGCTTATTGAGAATTTATCTGGAATATTTTTGCCCGACTTCTGACTCGAAACATCCGACATTAAATATCGAGGAGTCGCGAGAAATGAACCGCCACCACCGCCGCCGCCGTCAACAAATTGCTCGGAAATGTTCGCCGTGAAGACGAATCGACCCCAAATCCGCCGAACGATCCGCAGACGATAGAATCATACAATGACGAGACGCTCTGTATAATTTCCAAGAGCGCGGGGTGATGGATGAAGAAAAGGAGCAATTCTAAAAGCCATGAGTCGCGTCGCGGCGCGTTCTCATCCATCAGTCGCGGCACTTTCGAAAAAGCCGAACGCACGCACGCACGCAATTAACGGCCGCCTTAGTCGCGATATTTTCGCCGGCTTGCAATTACGTCGGCCGTCATCGCGGCAGGAGGAAGAGACCGGGCCGAGGGAAATTATCGGCAAGAATGGGAAACTACGGGAGTGGATAATGACTTGGCGGCGCTTTTCCGCGATATCCGCGCGCGGTTGGCTAGTATTCATTGCTCTGTGCGGTAACTTTTTAAATTATTGCCGGCGATTTGTTCGGTCGCATCGCGAATTGGAGCCGCGCTTCCGCGTGGATTAACCAGCCGAGGTGTCGCGGATAAACGATTAATTATAGACCGGTAAATCGAGGAATGAAAGAGAGCTGAGAGAGAGAGAGAGAGAGAGAGAGAGAGAGAGAGAGAGAGAGAGAGAGAGAGAGAGAGAGAGAATGTGCGCGTGGGAATCGCTCAAAAATTGTTCACAGATTTGTATACGTAGACTGTCGCGAAGATCTGACAAGGATGGCCTCTGCCGCAGGCACGTTCGGTCTTTGTCCAGCTTCGTTCTCATCAAGGCAAGCTAGACAAAGATAACATATGTGCGGATAATAAGAGGATACAGCTGTCCACTGCATCGTGTTTCAAAGACTTGCCTCTCGGAGAGATTTCGAGTCTCTTTCATAGGAGGGTGAGAGGGGTGCACAGTCTATATATACAAATCCATGAGCCAAATGCACGAGGCGACAGCCTCGAGTACAAGGAGGAGGAGAAGGAGAAGGAGCGCGACGACGAGACAGGCAATCTGCATCGCTCGATTTCCTCTTGCAGGCCTGCGACTGCCTGGGAGTCAGCAAGGAGTGCGATTACTTCGGCCTGAAATATCAGAACGCGAAGGGCGAGGATCTCTGGCTGAACCTGAGGAACCCTATAGAGCGGCAGACCGGCGGCGGCGTGGCGCCGCTCAGATTCGCCTTGAGGGTTAAGTTTTGGGTGCCGCCGCACCTGTTGCTGCAGGAGGCCACCAGGTAACGAGTTCGCGCGTTTATCGCCCGTCATTTGTCCATTATTTGCCTATTCGTCGCCGCTGCGCGCGTAATCGCTCGGGTCCGGTCCTGTGCGTGACGTTTCGGCCTCCGCCTCCAACATCGACTGAATCATGTTAGGGCCGAGCGAACGTTAATTCGCCGAAAGAGCGAACGTGTCGCGCTCGGTTAACCGTTTTAACCGAAATCTCGCGGCTCGATGGATCCTCGACGCGATGATCCAACGGCGAAACTGCGAAATTGCATTTCGCAGCCGCTCCTCATCTCGGGACGAGGATCGACCGTCCCGTGTAATCTCGTCAACTGCGTTTGCCCACGGGACAACGATGCTTTCGTTGTCTCCGCGTAGTCGTCGCTCGAGGTGAACGGATGGCTTACACGCGTTACGCGCGACAGACAAATCGTATGCACCGCGGAGCATGAAGCAGCGGATGAGCGATCGTGTCGTGAATTACGAGCGGCGAGCCTCGCGAGACAGATCGCTCTCGCCGGCGCGGCGACGCGTGATTTCGCGAACGGGAGTTTACTCCGCGGATTGTCACGACGTTATCGGCGGATAAATTAGACGACGATGAGGCATCGTCGGCTCAGCACGGTAATCCGCTACGGGGATTCGCTGTCAATGAGGGGGAAGCTGTTAATTCTCGACAGAGCTCTTAATCCGGCAGCGAACGAGGGGGGGGGGACAGGGGGGAGAGAGACGAAGAGTCTTTCTTTTGCGCGATAAATTTCGAGTATCGGTAACTGCTAAGCGGCTGGCTCAATACCTCTTCGCCGCCTTCGAGTGCACGTTCATCGCGGGCTAAGTCGCTGCCTTAATTACAGGACATTTGCATCGGCGGCGAGTCCTCCTCCTCTTCCTCCTCGCCTCCTCGCGCATTTCGAAGTGCAAAGTGCCCTTTTTGCGTCCTTTATTGATCCCCGAGCGTCGCGTCGTCTGTCGCAGCGATGCGGTCGATCGGATCGTTGCCGCGCGCGCTACGCCGATATTAATTGTCAATCGCAATTTCACGCCGTGCCAGTTGTTTGTTTGTGTAATTGTGGTTCATCGCGTTTCGCGCGTGGCGACACGCGATCAACCCGCGCGCAGCTCCGTATGTTGCGTTTGAAAATTAGCGCGTACCGCACTACAAATACACAACGGGGTGGACAAGTGTCTCGGGAAATACACATCGCGAGTGTTCGGCCGGTGGCAGCAAGTCGTTTTGTTGGAAGTTCTGATTGGCTCGTTACTGCGGCTCGGCGCAGCGTATTCAAAGCGAGTGTCGCGAACTCTCCGCAGTTGCGAATTGCGCCCGCTGTAATCCGCGCGGATGCACTCGTGCGAATGCAACGGCGAGAACGAGACGGAGGCCCCCGGTCCGAATTGAAAATCGTTTCCGCCGTAAAAATTCCTCTCTCTCTCTCTCTCGGCGAACCGGAGGGCGAGAGAGGATGAGAAAGGGAGAGGAGAGAGAGGGAGAGAGAGCGAGAGAGAGAGAGAGAGAGAGAAGAGGAGGAGGAGGAGGAGCAGACGGGAATCGCTCGTGCAATCAGCCGGATTCCTTGGGTGCGATCCACGCGATCCATCGATCCTCGAGCGAGCACGTACGAAATTGCATGCTGGCGTCGCCGTGGGAGTACTGATTGCATCAGGCGATATTGTTGTTGAATGTGTTTTCGGGCTTTGCGCGAAGACGGCCGGCGCGCTTCCGCCTGGGAGATGCTGCTCGGTAAATAATGTTATGCGCGGCGCGGCGTGTTACAACGTCGACGCGATTTATTTAAAATTATTCGCGGCATTTGTATCGACGGCGGCGCGTACGCGGAAGCGTTTCCAACTACGTGACGCTCGCGCGCGGGATTGGATCGGACGCGGGTGACATCTAAAAAAGTAATTACGGATTCTGCTCATTACGTGGCGCCTGTCAATCGTACGTACATTACACGCTCGAGAGCGCGGCTAAAAATCCTGACCGCGCGCGGCCTTGATACAGAAACGGCAAAGAACCGGCCGCGCAATAGATTACGCCGGTAATACCGTTACGGTATTTGATTGGAATTGCGCGGCATCGAGCCTCGGGGATATCGGTCGGCGCGATCTGCGATGCGCTCTCCGCGCGGAAATCGCGGGGATTCCTCGACGATCGTCCCGACGATCGACAACGGCCGTCCGTTCGTGCCGTCTCGCGCGTCAAAAGTATCCGCGGCGACTCGCGATTAAATGCAGTCCGCGTCGGTTGCAATTTATAGCGCGGGCAGCGCGGTGTCCGCAGATTTCAACAGATCGAAAGGTAATTGCAATTTAATCGCGGTCACTCGAATTACCCCTCGCGCAGTTAAACGCGCGAAGAGTAATGCGTCCGGCGTGCGAATTAATTCGTCGCCAGTACCGCGACGTTGCTGTAATTGCGCCAACTGACGCGACGGGCTGTCTCTCTCTCTCTCTCTCTCTCTCTCTCTTTCTCTCTCCCCCCCTTTTTCTCTCTTCCTCTCTTTCTCTCTTCCTCTCTTTCTCTCTCGCCTTCTACAAACTCGTATTCAACGAGCGCACAACGTTTACAACGAATCCTTTTCCTTCTGCGCGTAAGGCGAAAAAGACACTCCGTGACATCTCAAGTGAGCGGATGAAAAATGACTCGTTAGATCTGCGACGCCTTTTATAGCCTGCGGAGTGTAAGGGGAGGTATTTTGATGAATGTTGAATGTATCCAATTCAAAACTCTGACGCGCGCTTTCAAGATCCGACCGTGATTACGAAGCTACCGTCAATATCCTCCTATAGCGCGAACGACGCAGCCAGTGTGATCCTGCGAAATGACGGAGGAAAATATGAAAGGACGAGAGCTTTTAATGAAAAAAATGTACGCCTTCACGGAACGAGCGTGTGCAAGAGCGATACTTTAACGCGCCTTAGCGCGATCATCCCTCGTTGAAAAAGCCGATCTCATGAGAGCTTACAGTTACCGGAGCCGCGCGCGACGCAATATCCTTTTCATAATCCGCTGTACGCTTCTACGTCTTCTCGCGTCGACATGTGTCCTTTGACGTCGTCCGTGTCGTCGACCAGATCAAATCCGATCGATCGGCCGAGGGGATTCGTTTCTCTCGCGAATCAATTTCCCCGATGTCGCATGCTCGATAGCCGAACACGCTCGGCAGGACGCGCTCGACAGACGCGCGGGACACGGCAATTATTTCGGGCCAGACGCATTATCTTAATTTACCCGGCTATGTTATCTTAATCGCGGACGCTTTCAAGCGGTCGCAAAACGCGCTCGGTCCCTCAGAGAGGCGCTTGCAGCAGATATAAGCCAATTAATCCCTAACGAAATTATAACCCCCAGCCGTGTCGCGCTGTTTCCAAGATATCTCCTTCAGGATGTGTGTACATCCTCTCTCGTGGCGAGCGGCGATCCGAGCGGTTGAGTAAGCCGGTGTACTTGCTTCCTCCCACCGTCTCTCCTCTCTGCCCTTCGGGCCTTTGGGTCAGTCACATAAGACACTGCAAAATTAATCTAACACGAGTCAGATTTAATTGCCTCACACCGCATCGTGCTGGCGCGCGAATCCGTTCGAGAATGGCCAAGATAAGGGACATGGGAAAGACAGACAGACAGAGAGAGAGAGAGAGAGAGAGAGAGAGAGAGAGAGAGAGAGGGAGAGAAAGGGAATGTCGTCGAGGTTTTGCTAGCCGTCACATCGTCGTGCGCGGTTGACATTAATATCCACTCGCTCTAGGACAATCCTCTCTCGGCTTGCGCGCGCCGAGCGTTTGCTTTCGCGTCTCTCAGCGAGCAATGTCCAACTATCGTCATGCAATTAGCACGAGATTGTCTGTTACTCTATCGCAGGGTTTTATTGTGGAGAAAAAAATTGAGAGAAAGGACAGAGAGGAAAGAGGCGAAAGAAGCTCAGTTTACGTGCTTCATGCGAGACAGGCGTCAATTGGTTCAGTCGGGCTGGCCGATGGACTGATCTCCAGTGTTTTCTTATTTGATTAATTTTTTTTTTCTATCGGATTTCTCTTCCAGCGCGATAGAACTCGAAATTAATCGCCGTCGCGCTATTGGCTCGTCGAGATTAGTTTCTCTCTGGCGAGAACTCCTCCCGCGCGTGCCCACTCGATACTTCGATATTCCTCGTTTCGTTACAACTATCGGGCGTATTTCTGTCGACGTCGCTAATGCGAAGGGTAAAACGCTCTCGAGAGCACAATGATTTCGTTTTACTCCTCTTCGCGAGCGCGAGCGCGAGCGCGCGCGCGCGCGGCGCACTTCATCATCATATTTCATCAGGCGGCGTATAAATCACAAGGCATCGCGTCAATTATTACGCGCCGTCGATTCCGTGTATGATTCATTGATCCGCACATTTTTTATCCGTATTTTTTATCTGTACGAAAAACACGATTCTCCGATCGCAAATTCGGACCTTTCGTCCGACGTGTAGGAGATTCGCACGCCGGCGGTGCTCTCGTGTTTGATTTATCGGCGATCTACATTTCGTTTGCGCAACGGCGTCACGACTTTCCCGTCACATTCCGCTCGTAAATTTCGCAGGGGTGTATACGAGGGGCACACGGAGTAACGTCTCGCCGTTATCGCATTATGCGATGGCGATCGATGATTAAAATAGAAAAAGGGCGCAGGAAAACAGACACAGTCCGCTGGTGGATATTGTTGCGTCGATGTTCCATGAATATTTCATACGCATTGCGAGAGTTGACGGATAGAGTGATTGATATCGTAATGATAGTACACGCCGGGCGAACTTGAGCGCCACTTATTAACACTTCACGCTCGCTGTGTTGTCTCGCCGTGCTCGTCGCGAGAATGTCGCCGGTGCCGGGGTCGCGGATTGAAGCTTGCAATTCGATCGGCCTGCTCTCATTAATCCGACGCGAAGTCGCGCGAGTTGCACCGAAACGTCGTTGTCACCGAACCAGCAGGATCGTCCGTCATACACGCCGACGACGAGGGGGTGCGAGAGAGACACGATCG